GGCGTTGTGGGCTCAGGGCCCCGGTGTGGTTGTCTCATAGGTTACTACCCCCACCCCATACATTCTACACGGTCTGTGGCTGTCGGATTCCAAAACTATGAGCCTATTCCCACCTGGTCTAAAGGTCAGAGAGTTACGATTTTCTTCTTTTCCTTCAAGGTTATTGTGTTTCTACTGAAAACAAAGGTCCCACCTAGATTTAGGTCAGAGAGTTCTGCTCTCTCGAGGTTATTGTCAAAGGATGTGGCTAATAGCCAGACCTTGTATTTCAGGAACAGAGAAGTAGATCTGTTTCTACCTCTCAAACAAAAGTCTAAGGCCCCAACTAGGTTCCTACCCCCTTAGGGAGATAACAATGGATTCCACGCAGGGAGTGGTTTGCCAACAGACTGTTTTGGTCTAGGGTGTGAGCATTACTTGTCTTGTTCCAGCGACCGAAGGTTTTAACTAAGATTGTAGCCCACGACCTTCTACTGGTCTGTTCATTTCCTTGTAGCACATCAATGCAGTTTTTTTTTTTTTTTTTTTTTTTATCTTACTCCTACCCTTTGGGGTCGGAGTATTTTAAGCGAATGGAAATTAAACGCGGGTGATTTCAGTATTCGCTGGAACTCCCTCCCGGTACTATCCTATGTTTCTGTTTTATTATTTTCACTCACGTCTTAATCCTCTTTACTAACTTTTCTAATCCCCAGACCCCTACCTACTGGCAAGTGGTATTTTTGTCCAAGCTGGTCACTGACATGTCCCCATAGAATACTCGGTCCCCAGTTGGTGGCACTGTTTGGGCATGTTTAGGAGGCATGGCCTTGCTAAAGGAAGTGTCCGTGGTGGCAGGCTTTGAGAGGTTAACAACTTGCACCATTTCTAGCTTACTCTCTCTGCTTTGCCTTTGTGGTCTGAAGATGTGAGCCCTCAGCTTTCTGCGCCAGCCACCACGCCTCTGCTCTTGCCACCGTGGGCTCTGATCCAGACAAATCCTTCCTTCTCTAAGTCGCCTTGACCATGACGTTTTTATCACAGCAATAGAAACGTAACTGATACAGGAATCCCCCCTAGAATAAATTCCAAGGCACATGGCTGGTCTTTAGCTGGATGTCTCCGTCTCCTAAGTGACAGGGATGCAGGAATCCATTGGGTCCTTCTTCTCTCCTAGGCCACAGAGGAATGCATCAAGACCATCTCAGAACTGGAAGAATCTCAAAAACTCCTAAGCAGCTCCCTTCAGGAGAAGCAGCAGTCCCTGTCAGATATGCAGGGTGACATAGACGTTCTGGAAGATGAGATCAACAAGCTCACAGCTCTCAAACGGCAGGTAAATCTTGGGAGCTCTCTGGGCCTGAACCCCAAGAGAAGCCTTGTGTCCCCGATGACAGTCTCCCCGGGGACCAGCTACATCTTCAGCTGGCGGTGACACCAACTACTCTCGTTTACATCCCTTGCGATTTGGTCACACCATACATTTTGATCTCTACCCGTTATTGGCCGGGCACCATTTCTGATGCCTGGGCAAACGACTAGACACAATATCTCTGGCTGTATTGAAGGTTAAATTCTTGCTCCACGAAGATGGAAGATGTCAGGGCCTCCGAGTAAAATCAAGGGGTTGAGTTTTTGAGAGGAGCAATCCAAGAAGGCTATGTAAGAAACATGTTTGAGTCTACAGAGCTAGTTCCATGACAGCTAGGGCTGTTACACGGGGAAACGCTGTCTCAAAAAAGAATGGAAGGCAGGAAGAGAGGGAGGGAGAAAAGAGAAACATGTTTGAGTCAAGACTTCATGGAGGTGGGAGAAGAAGAAGCCGTTCAGGTAGGCAGGGTAGCCTGGCCAAGAGGGGCCTGCCCAGACTGTACCAAGTCTTGACCCCGGGGGACAGTGTAAAGCGCTAGGGCTGAGGGTCACCTGGAACCAAAGGGATCCCCGCCCCCCAGGCTCTGGGGCCACATGGAGCAGAGCATCTAGGGTAGACTCAAGGGGCACAGCAAACTTGAATCCCAGTGGGATTTCCAGCTGGACCGGCTGTGCTGTGAGTCTAACAGGACTGCAGGGTGTCAGGAGTGTGTCTAGTACCAGGCCTGGCATAGAGCAGTGGAAACACCTCCCCCATGGGAGAGCAAGTCTCCCATCTGGGACGCAAGACCCCTCCCCTTGAGTCCCCGGAGACTGGGTGGAGGACAGGAGTCCTCTTGACTTGTGGGGACTGACGCGGGGTCTCTTTCCCACCCAGAACCTTTTGGAGATCGTGGCCCTGCAGACGCGGGCCAAGTACCTGCAGGCTGTAGTGGAAGGGAAGTACGTGCTCCTGCACCGCAGCAGCAAGAGCCTGCTGATGGAGCGCAAGCGTTTAGATGTCCGGCTGGCCCAGTTCAACGCGGTCCTCTCCCAAGTGCAGGAAGACTACCCCCAGTACCAGGAGGTGCTGAGAAAGATTCAGCAGAAGATTGTCAGCAAGCTGGAGCCCCGAGAGCCCTCCTAGACAGCACTTGGCCCGCACTTGCCAAGGCTGCCCTGATGGAGACCCTGTTCCAAAAAGCCACGTGTGCCCTAGAATGACACCCTACTTAGGAGACACTGACAAGCCAGACCTGTATTCACTCACAGCCACTGTGCTGTTCACACCAGGTGTAGTGCAGCATCCCTGATCTGCTTGGGTGAATGTGCCTGCCGGCAGAGGCATCACCTGGGCATAAAAATCCACTCTCCTGTGGGGCTTACCCATCCAGGTAGGTCCATTCTGTTGTCAGTTCCGCGGCCTACATCTGATACCTATCACACTGTCCTGGGACAGGCCCTCGGCTTTGTGGGGCAAGTAAGGGAGAGAGGGCCCCACGGAAGCCGGGGACAAGACTGCCTTGGCCCTCAAGTGTCTGCCCCAGCCCATCTGAAGCCCACAAGCTAACCTCATTCTGGTTCCCCAGCTCCACCCCACAGAAAGCTCCACCTTATCCTGCCCCCATCCCCTATGATCAAAACCCAAAGATCAAAGCTAAGGACCCCAGGATTCCAAGGAGGGCAAACATCTACCTACAGAGGTGGTAACTACATCAGTAAAGGGTCACCTACCTGGCGCTCACCCACCCACCTCTGACTGTTCTCTTCACCTCTGCCTCCCCTCCTCTGGGTTTCTGAGCACCGGCTGCCTTTGTGCTTCTGTAGATAGGAAATAGAAAATGTCCTGTGGAATAATTTCAGTTTTAAACTTTACAACAGAAAAAATAAAATTTACGAAAGAAAGCTATTTCTGGGTCAAAGGAGTAAGACATGTTCATCCTAACAATGAAATACAAAAACAGCCAAGAGGGCTGGAGACCCCAGCCACGCCCACCCCACCCAGGACACACCCACTGCCTGTCTGGCCCTCCCCTTCAGTACTTGCTGTGTGTTTGTTCTGCTTAGCAAATGAAGTCTGCTGTGTGTCCATCACTTGCATGATACGGAATAAACTAGGCTCAGCTACCTGTTATCAGTGTCAACTAAAGAGACAACAGTGAAAAGCAGAGAAAGGTGTAGTGATATTTCATATATATATATATTGGTTTTTCGAGACGGGATTTCTCTGTAGTTTTTGGTGCCTGTCCTGGAACTAGCTCTTGTAGACTAGGCTGGCCTCAAGCTCACAGAGATCCGCCTGCCTCTGCCTCCCGAGTGCTGGGATTAAAGGCATGCGCCACCACCGCCCAGCTTTTTTTCATTTTCTTTCTTTTTGTTACCTGCTCTTCCAAAGGTAGAATTCCCAGCAACCACATGGTGGTTCAAACCACCTGCAATGGGGTCTGGTGCCCTCTTCTGGCCTGCAGGCATACATACAGACAAAATATTGTATACATACTAAATTAAAAGAAAAAAAAAAACAGGTGGTAGTGGTGCACACCTTTAATTCCAGAACTAGAGAGGAATATAAAATGAGAGGAGACAACTGGGCGGTGGTGGCGCACGCCTTTAATCCCAGCACTCAGGAGGCAGAGGCAGGCAGATCTCTGTGAGTTCGAGGTCAGCCTGGACTACAAGAGCTAGTTCCAGGACAGGAACCCTGTTTCAAAAATAAAAAAAAAAAAAATGGGAGGAGACAGCTCTCAGGCTCAGTCTCATTATGAGGATTTCCTGGAGGCAGGATCACCATTTTGGACTGAGGTCGAGGTAAGAGCCAGTGGCTGGCTGCTTTGCCTTTCTGACCTTCAGGTTGAACCCCAATTTCTCTCTCTGAGTTTTTATTACTCATGCTTCAAAGGGGGAGTTATTAAATGTGGCCACAGTGGGAAGTGGCACAAATAATGGACCACCATCCATTCCAGGCCCACCTTGCGGGTCCCGATGTGAGGTTTAATAGGGCAGAAGTCTGTATGGCTAAGCAGTCTTGGCCAAAGTGAGGTCCTGTCCATCACTGGTCATCTCTTGGCACTAATTAACCCTGCACTGCGTTCTGACAAGCTTCCAGAACTGTGTGCAGTGTCTTCCAGGACATCCCCTGTCTCACAGAGATCCGCCTGTCTCTGCCTGCCGAGTGCTGGGATTAAAGGCGTGTGCCACCATTGCTTAGCTTACTTTAGTTTTTGAAACAGGGTCTCACCAGGTGTCCTATGTTGGACTCAAATTAGCAATCCTCCTGCCTCTGTCTCCTGAGTGCTGGGATCACATGCTCACACCACCACCCTGTGCTTACGTCTCAATTTATGACCATCAATGTCAAAAGCCTGACGTCATTTTATGCTTTCACCAGCATAGGGGTTTGTGTGTGTGTGTGTGTGTGTGTGATCACGTGTTTTTGACTCTTTCCCTACGGAGCAAGCTGACGGAGCTCCCAGTCTGGACTGGTTTTCATCTCTCACTGAAGCTTTCGAGGTGCTGGACGGGTGGCCTTGGGTTAGATCTGTTCTGTGCCAGCTTCTTCCCGTCTTCCCGGTCACCGCCCGGTGACACCTGCGCGCTCTGCCGCCCGCAGCCACTAGGGGGCGCAGCGAGAACGCCCACGCCGGAGGCCGAGTCACGTGGTCCGTGCTGTCTAGCCCCGCCCTCGGACCACGTGACCCGAGCTGTCTCGCTGGGTTTGGGGGTCTGCGGCCAGGAGGGCGTTTGCGCAGGTGAGCTGGACGCGCTGGTGACGGCTGTATCATGCCCGAGGACCTCCAGAGGAGCGGCCTCCTTCAGGGCGGCGAGGCCGACTATCAAGTGAGTTCCTGCTTGGGAAAATCGAGCAGAGAAACCGAGAGAGGTGGGACTCCCCCGACCCCCGACCCCCGGCTCAGGCAGACGCAGGCAGGGACCTGAGTAACACCACAGGCTTCGGCAAAATATCCCGGATTCTAGTGGGTACCCTCAGTGCTGGGCGGGCCAAGCTCTGTGTGTATGTCTCGCAGGGGGAAACTGAGGCACAGAGAGAACGCGCGCAGTGGCACAGAGAGAATGCTCACGGTGTCTCGAAAGCTTGTGTTTGGACTCGCCTGTCCCTGGTGGCGCTGCTCATTTAGCAGCGCTCTAGAAAGCAAGCTTAGGTCTCCAGATCAGCAGTGGCGTCTGATCTTTAGTTCCTTCCCTATTTTTTTTTTTTCCCTCTAAATTGTGGAGTTGAGAGAACGGGCCTGAGCTGTCTGGTTTCTGTTTCTGGGACTTTGTTCTGATATACGTGTTCATCTGTTGCGCACCGGGGCCTCCTTGGAAGGTCCTGGAATCTGCAGATTCCCACGCTGCCCAACGGGAGTCTGAGCACGTCATTGTCCTTGGATGCTGAATCATGGTCAGTGTCACGCGTGTCCGAAGGGCCAGGTGGAGCTGTTGCGCAGCAGTAAAGACAAAATGGGTCTCTGGCTTTCTATTGCTAGCCCGGAGGCTGGGGTCCCTAGCAGCTTTATGGCTGCTAGGCAACCGAAAGACAAGGTGTCATTGGAGGGTTGGAAACTGCAGCCCACCCAAGCATCCTGACTCCCCCCCCCCCCAGAGGCTAGCGATCACTCACCATGGCTACTGATGTCATCAGTCATGCCTGCATAACGGAAGGCAGAACTCAGCAGAGCTGAGTGTGAAATCCAGTGCCAGAAAGCACAGCACGTGGGAGGTGGTGGCAGGAATTCCTGGCTTCATAGCAAGCTAAGGCAAGCCTGGGCTACTGGAAACCGTAACTCGAAGTGACAGCCAAGTGGGTGAGTTCAGGGAGCATCCCAGAATCCCAGATGCTCCACACACATTGCAGGGGCACGCCCACCTGTTCCCAGCCCATTTCTTTTATCTGGCTGTTCTTGAGTTATAGGATATACATACATATAT